GTGTTGATTGAGTTGAGAACAAGAATCAAAAGTCACAGGGGAGTTACTGTGGCCAAGAGGTGCAAGAGGAGTGCTTGAGGCAGAAGGAACTTCATATGCAGAGGCCTGGGGGTGAGAGAGTGCAGGGGGTAGGGGTGACTCAGGTTATAGGGACCCAGACTTTAGGAGGGTGGAGGTAGGTGAGGGATGGGGCTGGCGAGCGGAGTGCTGGAGAGTGGAGTGGTGACCAAAGTGAGAAGGCCACATGTGTGGAGATGAGGGAAACAGACCTTGTCCCAGGGTTTTCTTTCTGTGTGATAAAAATGTTCTGGAGCTAGATAGAGGTGGTAGCTGCACAACGATGTGACTGGACTAAATGCCAGTGGATCATACAGTTTAAAATGCCTCAAGTAGTTAATTTCATGTTACATGGATTTCACTTTAATAATTAAAGGTACGATCTGCAAAGTATGGAAGTATTGTTTCTACCCCGTCCCCACCTACCCCCTTCCTTCCATCTTGCCTTATGCCCTCCTGAAGGTAACAGTTTGGGTTTTTGTGGTTTTTTTCTTCAAGATGGAATCTTACTCTGTTGCCCAGGCTGGAGTGCAGTGTCACAATCTTGGCTCACTGCAACCTCCACCTTCTGGGTTCAAGCAATTCTTCTGCCTCAGCCTCCCAAGTAGCTGGGACTACAGGCATGCAACACCACGCCCGGCTAATTTTTGTATTTTTAGTAGAGACGGGGTTTCACCATGTTGGCCAGGCTGGTCTCGAACTCCTGACCTCATACTCTGTCTGCCTCAGCCTCGAAAAGTGTTGGGATTACAGGCGTGAGCCACTGCACCTGGTGGGGTGTTTTGAAAAAAAAAAAAAAAAATTTAGTTGTTGAAAATTTCCAACAGCTGTAAAAGTAGACAGGCTGGTTTAATGAACCATTGCATATCCATCACTCAGCTTGCTCGGCTGCTGCCTCACAGCCAAGCTTGATACCTTTCTGCTGCCCTCTTCCTGCCCATGGATGATCTGAAGAAAATTGTTGACATCTTACTATTTTACTCAAAAATAATTCAGTATATATTAGTAAAAGATAACTTTTTTAAAAAAACATAACCCCAATAGGTAGCACTTTTAATAATATTTTGTTTCTTCTTTCAGTGTTCGTGCATGATGAGGAATATATTATTTCTCCTTTCTGACATCAAAGGCACCATTCTGAAAAGCTATTTTGTACCTTGCTTTTTTCATCTAAGAGGATATTCTGCCAGTGTTCTCCATGCCAGCATATAGTGATCCTCTTTCTTTTTTTTCCAGAAATATAATATTCTATAGTATGGCTGTACCACACTTTATTCACCCATCCCCTATTTCGGGATGTTTGGGTGGCTTCCAGTCTTTTGTTTGGACACTGTATATTGTGTGGTCAAAGGCAGATCACTCTTGGCTGCTGGCCTCAGGGAGCCTGAATTAGTCAGGATCTCCAGAGAAACAGAACCATAAGAGAGAGACAGAAAGAGATTTGGAGAACTTGGCTCATGTGATTGTGGGAGCTGGCAAGTCTGAGATCTGTAGGGCAGGCTGGCAGCCTGGAAATTCAAGTACAAGTTGATATTGCAGTCTTGAATCCAAAATCTGCAAGGCAGCAGACTAGAGACTCAGGCAGAATTTTGATGTTGTAGTCTTAAGCCAGAATTATTTCTTTCTTCTCCTTCTTCTTTTCCTCCTCCTTTCTTCTTTTTTTCCCCTGCCAGACTGCTCTGTAGGCCAGGCTGGAGTACAGTGGCACGATCTGGGCTCACCACAACCTCCACCTCCCAGGTCAAAGCGATTATCCTGTCCTAGCCTCCCAAGTAGCTGGGACTACAGGCACGCGCCACCATGCCCTGCTAATTTTTGTATTTTTAGTAGAGACAGGGTTTCACTATGTTGGCCAGGCCAGTCTCGAACTCTTGACCTTGTGATCTACCCACCTTGGCCTCCCAAAGAGCTGGAATTACAGGCCCCTCCTTCCTCTTTCTTCCTTCCTCCTCCTCCTTGAAACCTCAGTCTTTGCTCATGTGGTCTTCAACTGACTGGAGGAGGCCCACCAACATTACAGATGCCACTCTACTTTCCTTAAAATCAATTGATTATAAATGTTAATCACATCTGAAAAATGCCTTCAAAGCAACATTTAGATGAGTGTTTGACCAAGCAGCTGGGCACCGTTGCCTCACCAAGTCAACACATAGAATTAGCCATCTCAGAGCCAAGAAGGATGAGGATACAAAGACCACGCGAATGCAGAGGAGAGGAGCCTGGGTCCCCTGTGTGGCTACTGGAGGTCAAGATGAGTCCTCTCATTTTATAACTGAGGAAACTGAGGCTCTGAAGGTAAATTAACTTGTCCAAGATTGCACAGCTAGTAGGTGCTAGAAGCAGGATCTAGCCTGGGTTAGTCTAGTACAACATTCATATCTAAACCCCATGGGAGTTAATGCTGCTTCATATGTGGGGTATGTGTCATCCTGGAGGAGAAATTTGAGCTGGCCCCAGAAGAAGAGGTGTCGATGAGGTAGATAAAGAAGAGCGATTGGAAGTTGGATGCAGCGGCTCATGCTTGAAATCCCAGCACTTGGGAGGCGGAGGTGGGTGGACTGCTTGAGCCCAGGAGTTCAAGACCAGCTTGGGCAACATGCAGAAACCCCAACTCTTCAAAAAATGCAAAATTTAGCCAGGCCATTACCATTAGTGTCTGCCTGTAGTCCTAGTTACTCCGGAGACTGAGGTGGGAGGATCAATTGAGCCCAGGAGGTCGGGGTTGCAGTGAGCCAGGATCGTGCCACTGTAGTCCAGACTGGACAACAGAGCAAGACCCTGCTTTAAAAAGCAAAAAGAAAGGTGATTGGCATTTTCAGCTGGGAGACCTGGCTGTGCAAAGGCCAGTGCAGCAAGTGAGCCATCTTCTCAGAGGCAGCCAGCATGTGACTGATGCAGTCTTTAAGGGCAAGAGCCCTTGTGTCTGGGTCAGGAAGGCTGCCCTGGACTGCACTAAGTGGCATTTGGGCTTCATTTCAGGGCCTAAAGTCACAAAAGGCAGCCTCCAGCCAGGTCTGGCCCCGCCCACAGAGCTGCTGGGGTGAGAGCAGCTTTAAAACGTTGCATGCAGAGCCTGGTAGGGGTGACCTCCCCTTCCCATTTATTCCGGTCACCTGACTGGCCCTGAGTCCTCCATGTGACCCAGGCCAGGGGGCTTCAAAATGGCTTACTTGGCAGGAAAAGACAAATGCGTGCACTTGGCTCATTGTCTATTTATTTTTATGCGTGTGTAGTGTTGCACTAATGTATAGTGTATGCATTTTAAAAACATACCAACCAAGAAATTTAACAAGATGAGATACAAAAAGTAAGCCTGCTAATATTTTCTTTCTATGACCCAGCGATATCTCAGGAACCCCACTTTAGAGTCCCCCTAATTAGATGATGGGGAGTTAATGAAGGCAGGTTTCTGTGACAGAAGCTCCAGGTTGACACATGACTACAGGGCGGGGCTTGAGAAAGGGTGTGGTTAGGTCAGGTCAGCAGGCAAGGGCCATCCGTATCCAGCCACCCACCCAGGCCATTCGCAGCGTGCCTTCACTGTGCGGGATGGGAAGGCAGCATGCTGCACTGTGAATGCACAAGTGTTGAGGACACCCTGTTCGCCATGCTCTGGATGCCTCTGTGTCAGGTAGTGTCCTGGGCCCTCTGACACCACTGGTGGCTGGTGTCATTACCCAGGGGAAGGGGATGGCATCCCCAGCAGGGTTTGGCCATACAGGTCACCTTCCAGGGAGTAGAGTCTGGTGTCATCGGGAGCCCTCAGGTCTGATTTGCAGTCAGCGCACCAGCTCTCACCTCCTCTCATCGAGACCTCCCTTCACCTCTTCTTCCCTGAAACTGTCTTCCTCCTCCTTCCTGCCAGCTCGGCTTCCTGCTGTCACTCTGAAGAGGGAGGGGTCTGTTCCTGCCACGCTTCAGTTCAGATGCCTGGAGTTGCACCTGTTCAGAGAGAAATTTATTTTTCTTCCCGAGTGGCATTGGGGTGAATGGGCTTAAATAATTCCCTGAGTACCCTGTTTAAATTTGCTCTTTCTCTCTCCCAGTTCTCTGCCTTCTCTGTTTGATTTTTCTCCATAGCCTGTATTATCCTGCATAATATTGCATTAAAAAAGGAAACAAAATTAGTGTCTTAAAACAACCATCTTTTCATTATTTGCTTGCAGGTCTGCATTTTGGGCGGGAGTTTGTGGAGTAGAGGCTGGGCTGGGGAAAAGTCAGGGCATCTCTGTTCCTTGTGGGTTAGCCCAGGGCTGCTTGGGACCCTCCCTTCTTCCCTGGGTGGTGTCTGTATGTGGTAAGCTTGGGCCTCCTTTTAACATGGTGGGTTCAGAGTTGTTGGCTTTATTGCACGGTGACTGGCTTCCCTCAGAACAGAAAAGCAAAAGCTCCTATGCCTGGAGTGGGCATCATGTCACTTGTGCTATGTTTCTGAGCATCCAGCCACACACTAGGAAGTGTGGCAACTGTCTTGTCCCCTAGGAGTGTGGTGTGAAATGTGGGATACTCAATCAGTGTTCGCTCTTTCATTAGACACAGTCCTGGACTGTCAGAGACCCAGCTCTTAAGGTAGGTGACTTCCTCTGTGACCTGGCCCAAGGCTCACTTCCTCTCTGAATCTAAAATGGGGAGAATAGAAATACTGGCCAGTCACATGCCTACCTCAGGGGGCTGCTTGGAGGGCCCAGTGAAATAGAGTAACTAGTGATGACAGGTGTTGGGAGCTGGGTATGGCCAGGTTTCTGGAACTCTGCTCCTTGGAACTCCCACTTCCAGACACAGGGAATCCCACCTCTGCCAGGACTCCAGGGAACAGGATCCAGGGTGCAGGGAAAAGGTCCTGGCTCCTCCTCTTGAAGTGGCCAAGCAGGCCACTGTCAGGTCAGCAGGTAGGGCTTGAGTCCAGCCACTTTTGTTGAGGGTTTAAAATTCACCAGGGGCAGGCATGGCTGAATAGTGTGTTCTTTCATTAGTAGTTTATACAGCCAGACACCATGGGAAAGCAGTCTTCCCTTGAGAATGACAGATGGTATGCTAAGGTTTTTGATAGCATATCATTATTAAAGGTGAATAAAAATTTTTAAAAATTCACCAGGGGCTTTACACCTTTTACATCTTTTCTCATGTACCCTTAAAATGGTTCTGTAAGGCAGCTGATGCTTTGCCCACCCCCTAACAGCTGTCCAATGGCCACACGCCCCAGTGACAGAGCCAGAACTCCAGCTTCGACCCACTGGGCTGCAGACCCCGTGCCCTTTTCCCACAAAGCTTGCTGGGTACAGAGACTCTTGGCAAAATACCAGAATTTTCTTTACTATGAACACTGTCGAATTTAATTAGATTAATTTTCGCTTTTCTTTTGCCTCTGGGGGTTTAAAGCTAGCACAGTTGGATTGCAGCAGTGCCCTGTGAGTGGAGCAGAGGAGGTGTGGTGTGAGGACCTCCAACCCTGCGACCCCCAGTGCAGGCTTCATTTACCCATGCGTCCCCGCCCAGAGGCTCCCTCCCTGCCCAGGAGGGGATGGAAGGAAGGTCTGTGGAGATACAGCTCTGCTCTCCTGGGAGGGTCTCTGCCCTCAGGCTGATACCAGGGCCATCCTGAAGCCTCCCGGCCCGGCATGCATTTTGATGAAGGCTGCTTTGTGCACATACATGCGTGTGCTGGGCTGTGGCCGTAGCCCCACGCCCTAGTTATCCACAGTAAACACAGAACAGCGGCCACTCTGTGCAGCCTTCTCTCTTCAAGGTAAACTGATGGAGTAAGGGCTTTTGCCTGGAGGAAGGCTTAGTCAATGAGAGTGCTTTGCTGACTCCAGCTCTTGCTTTTCCCCCTGGGGAGCCAGCCACAAACATTTGTGGAGACCCACACATGCCAGGCAGGGCCTGCGCTGCAGAAGCGTGCAGTGTGGAACAATCAGCCTCAGAGAGCTGCTGAAGTACAATGAGGGCTTGTGGATCGTCTCTCCCAGACCTCAGACAGCGGCACCGCCTGCGTACAGTGCACCCAAGCATGCACCCAAGCTTGCCCCCTTGCCCTGGCCTGAGAGGTGCCGAGGAGCAGGCCTGTGTTTTGGGGGTGTGTGGTCACTTGCACCAAGGCTGCCTGGGGCGGGGTTGACCTTTGGAATATTAAATGTGTGGCCTTTTGGGCTTTGCCCAGGCCAACTGCTGACCCAAGGGAGGAATACTCAAATGTCGCCTGATGTAGTCCCCTCTCCTCTGGCCTGGCCATTGCCACTGCAAAGCCGAAGAGATAGAAGCATTTGTGGTAGCTGGGAAAGGGAGGTAGGGCACTGGTACCAGGAAAGTCCTTTCTTGAGATGGCCTTTTGGTTCATCTGAGGATCTTGCCGTCTGCCCATCTAGGTGCTGCCCTCACCCTGGGTCCCACTTGCCACTCTGTTCACGTTGAGAGTCCTCTTTCTATGCGGTTCTCAGCTTCAGCCAACACAAACAGCAGAAATAAGCTGAGAGAAGCCACCTCTGAACAGAGGTTCTTTTCCCAGATTCGCTGTGCCAGCCGGGCGTAACCGTTTAATCGCTGACACTAAGTCTCTCCGTAAAACCAAATGAAACAAGGTTCCATGGTGCCCCGAGTACAGGATTTGAGTGTGACACAAAGAAAGCAGAGAACAAAAGGACGCAGGGAGAGTTTGGTCTGCCCAAATGCACCTTTAAAATTCTCCTATTAAGACAGAATTCCCTATTCTACCCCATTAACTTGTTTTGACACTTCAGGACTTGTCTTTTGTGTGGTTTTGGTTTGCTTTCTGGGTTTCTGCACTGAGGAGAGAACATTCTAGAAGGGCAAAATTGTTAATTATTCTTAAAACTTTGAGAGCTGCTTATGTGGAATGTGTCCTGTGAGAGCACTTGATATTGCACGTGGTGACCTCCATTCCCTTGGGATGATCTGTGGGGACAGGGTCTGCCCAGAGCCCTGGTGTCAGGGCATTATACTGACTCAGCTTTACAGGCTGGCCTGGGGGAGCTGGGGCTTGAGGTTGGAGACCTGAGGAGAACATCACAAACAGAAGTTGTGGCTCTAGACAGAGGCTGCCTCATCGCCTGAAGCAGGGCATCTAACACAGGTTGGAATCTAACCTGTGCTTCTGCCTTGGGACCACGTGGTAGCAATGGTATTTAGGTTTTTAAGGCAGGTGGTGTCAAAAGCCATGTCCGGCAGAAAATATTTTTGTTGTTGGCTCTATTCTTTCACTCTAAGAGATTTAACACAGCGATGGCATGTAGGGTCCCGCTGCTGAGATGCACTGTTCCTTCCTGGCTTCTCTCACACCTGGACTTCTCTTCTGCCGCGTTTTGTCTGTCTTTGGCCAGGACACTGAAGGATAGTGCCACAGCCCCTGCGTGGCCCTCGTCTCCTTTTCTCTAGCACGTTTTTTAGAGAAAAGCTTTATTTTTTGAGATTAAAAAATTCATGTAACATACCATTCGCCCTTTTGAAGTGGGTTTTTTTGTTCTCTTGTTTCTTTCGCTTATTGGTTTTCTTGTGGTTTTTTTGGGAGAGTCTCGCTTTGTGGCACAGGCTGGAGTACAGTGGCATCATCATGGCTCACTGCAGCCTCAACCTTCTGGGATGAAACAATCCTCCTGCCTCAGCCTCGTGAGTATTTGGTACCACAGGCACACACCACCACGCCTAGCTAACTTCTTTGTAGTTTTTGTAGAGACAGGGTTTCACTATGTTGCCCAGTGTGGCCTTGAACTTCTGGGCTCAAGTGATCTGGCCATCTGGGCCTCCCAAAGTGCTGGGATTACAGGCATGAGCCACCATGTCCGGCCTAAAGTGGATGGTTTGTAATATATTCATGAAGTTGTGCAACCCTCACCACTATCTAATCCCAGGACATTCCCTCACCTCCTGTTATCTGTCACCATAACTCTCATTTTTCCCCAGCTTCCTCAACCCTATGCAACCACGTATGCACTTTCTCTATAGATTTGTCTATTCTGAACATTTTATATACATGGAGTTATATAATATGTGCTCTTTTGTAACTGGCTTCTTTCACTTAGCATAATAGTTTCAAGGTTCAACCATGTTCTGGTGTGTATCAGCTCTTCATTTTTTTTTTATTGCTGAGTAATGTTCTGTTAGGTGGTTATTCTACATTTTATTTATTTCTTTATCAGTAGATGGAGCTTTTGGGTTGTTTCCATATGTTGGCTCTTATGAATAATGCTGCTTTGAATGTGCAAGTACAGGTTTTTGTGTGGATATATGTTTCTAATTCTCTTGGGTATATACCTAGGAGTGGAATTGCTGGGTTGTATAGTGACTCTATACTTAACCTTTTGAAGAACTGCCAGATTGTATTTCAAAATGGCTGCACCACTTTACAATCCCATCAGCAATGCTTGAGGGTTCCAGTCTCTCTGTATCCTCACCAGCACTTGTTATTATGTCTTTTTGGTTATAGTCATCCTAGCGGGTGTGAAGTGGTATCTCCTTGTGGTTTTGATTTGCATTTCCCTGATGACTAATGACATTGAACATCTTTTCATGTGCTTTTTAGTGTTAAAAGCTCAGGTTTAGATGTTCATCCAAGTGTTCATCTTTGGAAAAATGTCTATCAAATTGTTTGCCCAACTTTTAGTTCAGTTATTTGTCTTTTTATTGTTGAGCTGTAGGAGTTTTTAATATACTCTAAATACTAGACCCTTATCAGATTTGCAAATGTTTTCTCCCATTCCATGGATTGTCTTTTCACTTGATGATTTACTTTGAAGCATAAATATTTTTAGTTTTGGTGAAGTGCAATTTATCTCCTTTACTTACTCTTTCACTGATGTGCTTTTGGTGTCATATCTAAGAAATTGTTGCCTATTCCAAGGTCACAACAATTTATTTTTATGGTTTCTTCTAAAAGGTTCATAAAACACTTTTACATTTAGGTCTGTGGTGCAACTTGAGTTAATTTTTGAATATGTCATGAGCTAGAGGTTCAGCTTCATTGTTTTGTTTTGTTTTGTTTTGTTTTGTTTTGTTTTGTTTTGTTTTGTTTTAGAGACAGCGTCTCACTCTGTCACCCAGGCTGGAATGCAGTGGTACACTCATAGCTTATTATTATTGTTTAAGATGAGGTCTTGCTCTGTAGTCCAGGCTGGAGTGCAGTAGTGTGATCTCAGCTCACTGCTCACTGCAACCTTCACCTCCCAGGTTCAAGTGATTCTCCTGAATTCAAGTGATTCTCCTGCCTGAGTCTCCTGAGTAGCTGGGACTACAGTGCATGCCACCATGCCCAGCTAATTTTTGTATTTTTAGTAGAGATGGAGTTTCTCCATGCTGGCTGGTCTCAAACCCCTGACCTCAAGTGACCTGCCTGCCTTGCCTTCCCAAAGTGCTGGGATGACAGGCATGAGCCACCATGCCAGGCCAGCTTTATCTTTTACATGTAGATACCCAGTTGTGTCAGCACCATTTGTTGAAAACGTTTTTTTTCCATTGAATTGCCTTTTGTTTTTCTTACATGCCTCTTTCCTACTAAAAAGTAACTTAGTTCTCTCCTTTTCTTCCCCCCATATTCCCCCCACCCCCCACACGCACCTGCTAGCCTGCCTCAAAGTACTAGGCATCCCTGCTGCTCTAGGAAGGCCTGCATTGCCAGCCCAGAACCTTAGCCCTAACTCCCAGGGTCCCTTTCTCAGATGGCTCTCGGCATACTTAGGTCTCTTTGTGTCTTTATTAGTCTCTCTGGAAGCGAGCATTCATCTGCTTCAGGAGAAGGGTATGAAGGAGGAGCTCCATGTGATCAAAAATTTCCACATGAGTGTATATGTATATTTTTTCATGCCTGTATTTCTGACTCCCAAATCAGATGTAAACTTTCCCAGACATGACTTTCTTGGAGACCCTCATCCATTCATACAAAAAGTGTGCCCTAGTTAGATAATTAAATGAAGGAACTATGATGTCTCTGACTGACAAGTGATCTACTCACGTGGTACTCCATCCATCCACCCTTCCATCCATTTATTCATCTATCCATTCATCCATCCATCCATCTATCCATCCATCCATCCATTTATCCATTCATCCATCCATCCATCTATCCATC